TGTTCGAATGGTATCGCCTCGTCTGCTGATTGCATCGGTCCACCCCAAGTCACCACACCCCTCCCGTCCACCGAATATGAGCCTCCAACCTGCCATCTGCATGCGCCTTCTCCAACCAGTTGGCCCCAGACCCCCTCATTCTTCCTGAGCATGACCTGGTTGTAGCCATTCCTGGGATGCAGAACATGACCCCAAGTAGCTATGCCCAGACCCCATAGCGCGTATAGTTCCCGGTCTTGGTCTACAACTACGTCTACATTCCAGGCCCCACCGAGTTTCTTGACCCATTCTGTGGTTGCAGCAGGTGTGCAGTGCGATATTGCGACGAAGTGGATGGAAGTGTGCTTGTTCGCAAGGGTTCGGAGCGTGAGGAAGAGTTTCTCTGAGACTGTTGCAGCTATTAGAAAATGTCTAATTTCTACTGTTGCATCCGAATACAGCCTCTGGGATGATGACTACTCACAAGGACATCCGCAAAACCTCAGGAACAGCAGTATAGTCGGCCGCCCATCGGCTGTAGGAAATTGTAACTTAGGATGGCTTTGTGCGCGGTCTCCTATGTTTGGTGGCTTGCGCACCGGGTTCTGCGGTGGTGGAGGTGTCGTCCAAGATTGTAGGGCTTTTGGTACACCCCATTGTACGTTTGCGAATGGGTTGGCGAAACCTGTGTCTCCTCCCTCGGCGCCATTTGTGTTCCCCTTCTTCGTGTTGCCATTCCCAAACAAGCCGTCGGTTTTTGGTAGCGATACACCGCCCAGTCCGGCTTTTCGGAGGGCTATCTTTGTCCCGAGAGAACTGAACATGTTGCTGATGTCGTTCAGCGGTCGTAATTCGGATATATCGATCTGGAGCCGATCTAGATTTCCGCACGATTGTGTAAGGGCTATGCTGGATTATGAAAGAGCGGTGCAAGTATTAATTAACCGGTGGCGGAAGCAGACAGAAGGCACTGTGGAATGAAAGAGATGTGCAGGAGAAGTCTCGGTTGTGCCGACATGGTGCTGATCATGTAGCCACGACGCGTCGCGGACCTTGCAGCTGAAACGAAGGGCGTGGCACGGACGGTTGGGGGAGGCGGAGCGAAACAAAGCGGCTACCGGATTTCGACTTCTGGTGGTACACAGCGGGTTCCATCCTTTGCGACTCGATATGAGAAAGAATAAGATGATAGTAATAACCATTATTACCAAGGTACGATAATGCCCAGGAGGCACGCTGTCACGTGTGAGGACGCTAATACCCATGTGGGTAGCGCGGGGTAGGGATTAACTAGGGCTCCATTGATCGGCTCGCACATCCAACCATCAATGTACGCGTACCAAATGCATCGCTATCTAACTACAGGTCTAAAGGCGGTATAATCGTAAGCGGTAGTGACAGCAACACGCGTCGGGTATCCTATCGTACAGACGCCCCATATCTCCACCAACGCCATTTCCATCCCGCTAAACCTTCAGTACTATTACATTGTATCAACCACGGTGCCACAAAGTACGGCGCTCATCGCTTGTATGCAAAGATCGTCCTGCACTCGAGCAAGGTTTGGCGCTTTACACATTCTTGAACGATCTCTTCGTCTTCCCACCACCACTTCGGTTCGTCTTGAGCGTCGTCTACGAAGCTACCCCATATGTCCTTCCAGAAGGCCCGGCCGATGATCATGGAAAGCTCTTCGTTCACATTGGCAGTATCCGAGTCGATAGCGCACGGTAGCGTCATGCTCTGGTTGTCTTCCTGAACGAGCATCTCGAATCCGGCAGCTGTCAGCCAACTGGGGACCAGCGAACATGGCTTTGAGCATCTGAAGTCTCGCTCCAGATTGACGGAGAGTCTGTCCTCGATCCAGGTTCGCATCAATGGGCCGGTAGTCTTGCGTACCGGGGCAGCATCCATGATCCTGATCTCTAGGAAACCACCGGTAGCGAGCAGCTTGTGACATTCGCTGAACAGTTCCGGTAATATGGCAGAGGGTACCAGCGATGGCAACGTCGATGCTCTTATATGCGAGAAGTAGTCCTCTGGGTAAGGCAGTGGAACAGCACCAAGCTTGCGCACTGTCAAGTAGGATACGTTGCCCGGTAACTGAACACGTCGCTGGGGTTTGGTAGTGAGGAAGTGCACTGTTTGGGACGGATGCATTGCCGACAGTTGGTATACCTCAGCTGACATCGACCGTTAGAGATTGCACAGCAGCGTAACGCAAGGGCACAACATGGACTTACAGAGATTACCGTAGAGTTCAAGGATCCTCCCGGTGTTACATTCGGGCTTCGGCAGGGTCCGTTCCCGACCCAAATTCTGCATTTGGAACCCCGTCAACAGCCACAATTGTTTCTCGAGGACCAACTGTTTCTACTATTAGCAAAGGTCTGTGCAGAGTTATAACGACGACACGTACCTCCTCATCAACGTCTCCGCCTGTGCTCCACTGCCAATCTTCCTTTAGTCGGTCCAGGATGACTTTGGGACCGGCTCCCTCCATTCTCCGGATAAATCGTGTAAAACGGCCGAGGTCCGGTGTGGTATTCTGGGCGACTGCAACCTTCTTAGGGGTCAACCGCGACTGCAACTGTATTTCCGAAGGTACCCCTCGTGGAGTGAGACATTGCCATTGCGAGAGAGGCTTGCAGGAGACCTCGGAATTTGCGCCACCGCTCGCTTTTGAGACATGCCTAGCGTCTTCGTGTTCTTTCTCCTGGAAGCTGTCATGCAGCTCGAGTGCTTCAACTTTGGGCATTACTTCGGTTTCAGCTGGCTGTGGCCACCTACAGACAATAAGCATAAGACCGACTTTGGTGGAAACATTACTTACCCGCTGTCAACCCTCTTCGCTCCTGGCATTGACATTGGCGGGGCACTTCTATCTTCAGGGGTCTCGGAACTGGCACGAGTTCTGCTCGTAACAAAAGATCTAGGACTGACGCGGCTTGCTTGCGTTGCGTCATCGCTGCTGTCAACTACCGGCGGAGTCCTCACCGAGCGCTTTCGGTCATCTGGAATATGTCTTCAGCGCATGATCGTGGTACGCTGATGCTTAATGACTTACGTGAGACGCGCGATCTTGTGGAGTCTGTCTTTCGAGAGGACTTTTCACCTTCCAGCTCCGGTACTTCATCTTGTTGCGGATGCAGAGAATCACCAGATGGAAGTTTCGCAGGAATAGTGCCTGTGTATGTCCAGCTAGGGTGCAGCGCGGGATCCTTGAGCTTGTGCGTGCGGGTCAAGTCCAACTCGGCTGGCACGGTCTTCGCGGTTCTCTGAGAATCTGTGGTTTGTCCGGTTGATGGTCGTAGTATCCTGGGTTTTATACTCTTTGCTTTCTTCAGGCCTGAAGACCACCATTGCTCACGGTCGGTAGAGCCAGAGTTTGCGGAACTAGTGGACGTTCGTGAAGTATGGATGGAGTTTGACCTTATGGATCGCTCTTTGGTCTTTCGCTCCCTCCGCGCTCCAACAGACTCCGCCTCTTGATCCAGTGGTAAGTCGGTTGCGAACATGTTTGATCACAGTGGCGAGTCTAGCGGAGTGCAGCGGGGCCACTATAAGTCGATCTTTCAAGGGGTGGGAGCGAATGATCGACTGAAGGCTATCCAGCACTCAAGGCTAGCCGCACCTCTCGACGGAAAAGTAGTCAAGTACCTGGGTGGAGGGTGTCGCAACCGTAAAGCGAGTTACGCAACGGTCCCATGTTTCCGCGGCATCGAAACGCTGTCGCACCACTCGGACCGTGGCGTTATTGACCTTTTTAGGACTACTATCAGGGCTTCCCTAATCCGAACTCATGCGCTAGTGCTCTGCCGTGCTTCCTCCACGGCGCAAAAACACTATGCGCACCGTGAGCTTTCGGGTTGACGACCATACTGCTGGGGAAAGATACACCTACACGTGGTATGAGCGTGCAAAGCAACGCCTCTTCCATTCGGTTCTTCCCCGAAAAAGCAAATACTCGGGTTGTACAGCAATTGCGACTGGCTGGCTTATCGGGCTCACTTTTCCAACTTTCGGTGTCTCCGCCCAAGGTTTTGCAGAACCGCTTGTGGCTGGGTACGATTCGCACATGCCAACATGACGGCTGCTAGGTTGAATAACCGATATGATGCCGCCGACCTTGACTTGCACCCGCGGGCTACGAATTGCAAACTCAACTAGGCTGGCGATCACAGCTGATCCCTCTGATCAGTGCCGTAGGAACAAGGGCGGACACCGGTGCCATGGACAAAATCAGCTGCAAGGCCGCTGAACCGCCAGGGCGGCGTGAACTGTAAGTGATCTGCCCTTAGTTGCTGTCTGTGTTGTGACTGTTGTCAGAAGCAATCGGCAAGGGAGAGGCACAAGGTTCTACTAAGGCTTTTAGTCGCCCCGTCATTTTGCTGCAGATGCGGGAGGGGCACCAGACATCATCCCTTTGGCCAGTCATGATGCAGCCTGATCGACATCGGGCGTGCCTGACTAGCGTTAGCTAGGCTCCCCGGCCCCTGACTCGCTTCCGTCAAGCCACCAGAGTACGAGCCTAGACTGCCACACTCCAGCACGCTGCACGAGTCTCCGCTTCAGCTGCATGACAACGCTCCTGCCGCCGTTCAATTCACTTGTACTACGCTTGCGGCGGCCGTCCTAGGTTGTCATGCCGTCACTCCGTCCAAAAGCTTCTTAGATCGTGCTTTTTTCCCTGCCGCGCCGCATGCCTACCCTCGTCGTTCCCACCCATCCCTTACGGTTGATATCACATCGCCTCGAGTGTGATGTATAGCCAGCTCGCCCTGTCGTCGATACTTTTCATTGCATTTCTGGAAGGCCCTTTGCTTATGGCCCCACCTTAAGCGATCGCATTGGCGATTGATCAATACCATATACCTTTTCGTTCCGAATCGTTCATGTTTGCTTATACCGGACGTGCGTGACACAAATATAGTCAACGCAGGGCTATCTGCTGCCGATCACTGCATCTCTTATACTGGAGATTGAAACCCCCAACTGGCGGCCAACTTCACGTCTGCAACATGGAGTCCATACGTTCCTCAATCCACTCGTTCAACATCTACGTCGGCCGGTCGACTTTCGGCAGGATATTCCGTCTCTCTGGTTGTGGGCATGTATGTTCGACCCTTGTAGTAATATCTCAAACATGACTGACTGTCTCCGCAGAAAGATGAGATCCTGCATACGAAGTTCACCACCGAAGTGCGGGCAGGACTTACGTCCTTCTTCACAATGGCGTACATCATCGCGGTCAATGTAAAGCTCTCGAAGGATCATGTCTCGCAAAATACTAACGAGCCTAGGCTACTATCCTCGCTGATACAGGCGGTAATTGCGTGTGCAATGATGCCACAGACCCTCTGTGCTTAACGAACACGGAATACCTCATTTGCAAGCAGGGTAGGAAACGTCCATACTCTCAACAACTTCAGCTGATCCAAGCTCAGATTTGAACCGTAACCTCATCACCGCCACAGCGGCCGTAGCCGGCTTCAGCTCTTTCCTCTTTGGCTTCTTCACCAACATGCCCGTGTGTCTTGCACCGGGTATGGGCCTCAACGCATACTTCGCCTACCAGATCGTCGGCTTCCATGGCCAAGGCCTCATCTCCTACAACCTTGCGCTCACTGCTGTCTTTGCAGAGGGCTTCATATTCATCTTCTTGTCCTTGATTGGCATGCGACAATGGCTCGTCAAGATCATACCAGTATCGCTCAAGATTGCCGCGGCATGTGGTATAGGACTCTTTCTTGCAGAAGTCGGACTGAGCAACAACGCGGGCATTGGTGCCATTGCGGGCTCAAAGAGTACCCCACTTGATATCGCGGGGTGTCCTGATCAATACAAGGATGAGTTTGGCTCATGCACAAGTCACAAGATGACTTCACCTACTGTAGGTCATATGATGCCGGCTCAACAAACATCGCTAACATATCTCGCAGATGTGGCTAGGCATCCTTGGTGGTGGTATCTTGACAGCTTACTTGATGACATACAAGGTCAAGAGCGCCATGATTCTAGCTATTTTGCTCGTGTCAATCATCTCATGGCCGTGAGCTTTCTTCACCTATCTCAGTCAAGCTTAGGAGACTGACATTTATACAGACGAGGCACTTCAGTTACTTTCTTCCCCTACACTGAGGTCGGCGATAACCGCTTCGAGTTCTTCAAGAAGGTCGTGGACTTCCATCCCATCAACCGCACATTGAACGCCCTGGACTGGAACGTCAACGCAGCACCTGGCCATTTCGCACTCGCTCTTTTCACTTTCCTATATGTTGACATTATCGACTGCACAGCTACGCTCTATTCGATGGCACGTTTCTCTGGAGTGGTGGACGCAGAGACCGGAGACTTTCCGCGATCAACGATAGCCTATTGCACAGATGCTTTCTGCATCTCCATGGGCGCACTTCTCGGCTGTTCACCCGTCACGGCCTTTATTGAGAGTGGAGCAGGAATTGCAGAGGGCGGGAAAACAGGACTGACTGCCATGACCTGTGGTGTCTGCTTCCTCATTTCGATGTTCTTCGCACCTATCTTCGCTTCGATCCCACCATGGGCTACTGGAAGCACTTTGGTTCTCGTAAGTCACCTGGCACCACCTCCATATTGCTAGCGTTAACGTAAATATAGGTCGGTTGCCTGATGATGCGACAAATCTCCTCCATCAACTGGCGATACATCGGCGACGCCGTCCCAGCCTTCGTAACCGTAATGTTCATCCCATTCGGATACAGCGCAGCCTACGGTCTTATTGCGGGCTTGATGGTGTACACGGCACTCAACGGCATGATCTATTTGACAAAGCTTATATCCGGCGGATACATCGTTCCCGAAGACGAAGATAATCGTGAATACTGGACTAGTAAGTTTCATCACATCGCGCATCCCATCTCGCCGCACTTTCCCATCATCAAATACCAGCCGCTAACTCAGGAACCCAGTCAAACCCGCCGGCAGACTCCCCTGGTTCATCTCCGCATCCCAGAACCTTGCCGATCGCGTGCGGGGAAACGACAGGAGACAAAAGTCCCCGGATGCGCTCTCCATCCGAAGCACGGAGTCGGAGTGGAAGTACCATGATCGCATTGGCTCGAACGGATCGAATCGCGAGCTCGACTCTGTCGTCATTCAAGCCTTGCCCACTGATCCTCGTCGGGAGAAGGTTTTCAGGTCCATGGGGAGATGACGGCGCCTGTGATTGGCAGGGGAACTATTCTGTTGATTTAGAGTTTCGCGCTTGTGAAATGAAATACCACGAGTCATTTAACACTGCGTCCGAGGCTACTATTTTCTGCCCATGCCGTTATTTCGATGTCATGGCATTTGATGATTAGAAAACCACATTGAGCACTGGTTCGAGGTCGGTGCATCCCGCACGTATGGGGGTGGTATGGACTTTGGCTCACGATCTCTGGGCCGGGTCAACGCCTTCGCTCGACTTTTGGTTCGGGTCCGCGGCATTGATACTAGTCTAACTTTGCTCCAACCCTCCCTCTTCTCCAACCTCACCCAGGCGACAAGAAGCAAGAAAGTAGCACTTTGCCCAGCCAGGGAAACTCAGCGAGACACTAGGCAGTCTCTCCGAGATCGACTCATTGCTTTCTTGCTTTTTTACTTCTAGCCGTACCTGCCACGAAAACGAGATCTACAAACCTTAAGGTTGGCGCAATGCCTTCCGAGCCGCGGATTCGCAAGCAGCACGGCTGGGGTGCAGATCACTGCCCTGTAAGAAGGGGTATGCAGCGGCACTTGACGCGTAAGTAGAGCACTACCGCATGTCTAACAACAGTCCGCAACCGAACGTGCATTGTCTGATCATGCCATCATCGAAAGTGTCGGCGCGTCTTTATCGATAGTAACCAAAAAGCAATTCAACGCTGACAATTCCAACTCCACAACGCCTCTCGTGTATCTAAGGAAAACGAATTGCAACTACATGGGTACCTTTTCCTAGAATAGCACATGCGTGCGGGACTCGCATTAACGTCGACTCTCTTGACTTTGGTACGGGTCTGCGGCATGTGTACCCAGCTCAACGACGGAGATCACATTGCTTTTTGTAAGGCTGAAAAAGACAGTTGTATGACATCTCGGCAAGTAAGCTTAAGCTTGCCTCGCTTCCACCGTCGTCGTCTTCCCAAAGTGGGAATACTCCACACCCATCGCAGAAACCCAAACTAACCCCAGAGCGTGTATAGCGACCTCTTCTCGTACCCACCCTCGCTTCTGCAACACCAATTCGCGTCTGCACGTCTTTCTTTTCCCTTATCTCAGCTCAACACAGCATGCCGCCATCGACCTGCCACACAGAGCCAGTAACGTAGCTCGCGTCGCTGCTTAGCAGGAACTGGATTATTTTCGCTATCTCAATAGGGTCGGCGCGTCGGCCGAGCACGGCGTTGTTCGGGAGTTGGAAGCCAAGTTCTGTATCGAGGGCGTCCATGAGGGGTGTGTTGACAAAGCCTCTAAAGTAGTGTCAACGTCAGCGACCGGCTCTCCTCCAGTGGCACCATTGCGCGCGCGAAAGAACGACCTAGGAGAACACGGAGAGAGTTCCTTTGAGTGGTGGAAAGAAGAACTTACGGTGCGATGGCGTTAATGCGGATTCCAGTGTGCTCCTGCTCCCGCGCAGCAGCTTTTGTGAGCCCAACGACGGCATGCTTCGAGGCGCAATAGACGGAGCAGTTTTGCTTGCCGACAAGCCCTGTTATCGACGCAGCGTTCACGATCGACCCGCCTGGCACACCTGAACTTGCCACACGCATGTTGCGCAGCTCGGATGACATGCAGTTAAACGTGCCGCGGACGTTGACTGCGAAGACGGCCTCGTAGTCGGCGGCGTCGAACTTTGCCGCAGTTTCGAGTCGACCTGAGATGCCTGCGAGATTCACTGCGCCTGCATTATGCTCATGTCAGTCAAAGCACTCATGCAGATGTCGACTTCGCCAGGCACATTCATGCGTTGAAGACAGGACGTTGACATACCGTCGATTTGCTTCAATCCAAACCTCGTCGGCGCATGCGCCAGCCAATGCTCTACCTCTTCCCTAACTGTAACGTCCACCTTCGCCCATATCGCACTCGCCCCAAGCTCCCTCGCAAGCTGCGACACTGCTTCTTCATTCTTGTCTCCCAGCGCGACCTTTGCGCCGCTTGCAACCAGCAGTGTAGCCGTCGCACGTCCGATGCCTGACCCAGCCCCGGAAATAGCAAAGAGCTGCCCCTTGATACTATAGGGGGGCCCAGACTGTTTCTTCTCTTCACCTGAGGATGGGCGCGGGTCCTCAGGCATGGTATCGTCGGGCGATGATGATCGTCCGCGATGGAGAGTGCGACAGGGAAGACGATAGGGATGGGCGCGAGTGCTAGGCTGGTGAGAATGCCGGGACGACGATATCGTGGCGACTTCTGTATGTAGGTATAGCTGTTGCTCGGAAATGTGCGAGATGATGTGAGGACCTTAGCGATAGGTATATCTGTTGACGTTAGTCGGCGCTTATTCACGCACGAGAAGCCGTGAAGTATGGTGGGATGCTCGGTAGCATTTGCGCCTTCAAGTGCCTGGATATGTATGGGCAGGTGCCATGCGGTGTGTTGCAGCACGGCATCTTGTGCTGGACGGCGGTGACGATGCACACTCTCATGCACTGCAAGTGTGGTGGGCTCACGGCTTGATTGGGCAGTCTCCTGCAGGTCGAGAACTCCAGGCGCCGTGACATACCGTCAAATGGGAAGTGTAAGAGCCTCGACAAGTAGAAATCAAGAACATGTTGGTGCTGGATGTCACGATGCAACTTGGCTGTCATATCGTGGCTGTCTCACGTAAGCCAAACGCTCCTTTCCTTGTAGGGCTTGTAACCCCCATTTAAGGAAGGAACTGAACAGGTGCGCTGCCATCTGCGTTAGTATAAAAGTCGTTCAACGAGATTCTCAGACAATGTAGACCCCTATGAGCTTGACGCTCAATTGTTCCCTTCTATGTGGTGACAACAGCATCCTACGGATTATTGAGTCACTCTTCCACCGTTCGTGTCAGATTCTGCGACTTCCAACATTGGATACGATGAATTTTGCCATTTCTTCCACATACGACCACAGGCCAAGGATAAACACCGGATCCCGTTCGCTCTCCACACGTTAAGCCTTTGACCGGCTGGCTAGTAGCTTCGTGGGTGACCAGAAGCGAATCCCCGCTGTTGTATGTTTTTGACGTTTTTTTGCCTGTATGAAGACTGCACACAGTACGGATAAAAAGACATCAGTTTTTTAGTATATAGCAAGAACTCCCGAATCCTTCATGGTGGTTAAAATACCGCAAAGTTGTGGGCATAACTGGCGGGTTGCTAACCATTGCTACTTATCAAGAATGGTAAGACATCCGGCAAGTTCAAAGCAAAATTTCCAAGTCTCTCATAAGCCTTACTTCCAAAAAGGCATGTCAATATACGTCCAAAGACTCAGTCCAATACCATGCACCACCACCTCCCTCTTAAACTAAACGCCCACACTCGCACACCAAAACTCGGCCACACAAACCGTCGTCTCCCCACTACCCCCCACAACCCCACTTCCAAACCGAAACGTACTAACTCCATCCCTAAAGCACACAAACTCCTCTTTCCCGCCATTCCCGCCGCTCAAAGTTGCCGACCCCGCAAGCTCACTCTTCGCAAAAGTATCAGCACTCTGACTAATCTTCGACTCAAACACCCCGGATTCGAGATCGACACGTCGAGTGAAGCCGGCCCATTGGATAGCGCGTGAAGAAGAGACGGTGCCGATGTCGGTGGGGGAGGTGCTGGAGGCGGGGCCGGTGTAGAGGATAGCGGAGGAGAGGGTGGAGTCTGAGAGGAGGGAGCGGGTTGTGCAGGTGCTGAGGTAGATGTTGTGGGGTGTGCCGATGGGGGCGGCGCGGGGGTGGATTGGGGTGCTGGTTATGGTGGTGAGGAGGGAGGATAATGCGATGAGGAGGGGGTTGGGGAGATGCATCGTGAGAGAGGGTTGTTGGGATGGCAGAGGGCACAGAGTGGAAGTAGAGTGACACCACACGGGGCTGTTATAAGATTTTGCTTTGTATCCAATGCCTTACTATCGGTCGAAGAGACAAGAAAACCCAGGAACGCAGGCCTGTATATAGTATATAACCCATGCTACTCTTACACCCACCGCCTACACGGAATACGAAATGTACTCCCAGATATTCCCTCGCACCACTACATTCCCAAGATAGAAACCCACCAATGCGTTTTCATCTACACGTCATATAAAGCCTCGTATTGTAACCGGGAGACGGGTGGAAGAGGCTCAACAAGTATGAATTTAGCCTACCGATCCAGCACTATACGTTGCATGCGACATGCGAGGTTATATACCGGCAATACCAACTGCATGGTAAGCCCACCCCTGCTGCGTTAACGACTAGCTGCGAGTCTCGGTAAGCAAGCGTCGGTCCAGGGCGAAGGGATGGGTCGACCGGTTGGACGTCTTGCAGTCGTGATAGTTGAGTTTTGAAGATTGCAGAGTCGTGACAGATGTGAAAGTCGTAAGAATTGTGGAACGAAGCTTTGGTAAGAACTTAATAATCGTATGGCATTACAAAAACATCGACACGCCGACGCATGACAGCTAGTCCAGCAAGCCCGCAGCAAGAGCCTCCATATCCTCCAGCGTCTCCGGCTCCTCCACTCTATGCGCCGCCTTGGCCTTCTTCTTCCTCCTCTTCTCAGTCTTCTCCTCATCTTCAGAATCAGACTGGAACCATTTCTTCTGCTTCTTCGGCTGCTCTTCTTGTTCTTCGTCCTCCTCGTCACTGTATTCCGCGTCCGCCCTGAAGTTTGCAAGAAGATCCTCACCGGGATCGGGAAGCTCGACACCCGCATCGTCACTATCGTCACCAGCTTCACCAGCTTGCTTAGCCCGCTCTCTTTCTTTGCGTTTGAGCAATTTCTCCTTCCTCTTCGCTTTCGCAGTCGCCTTGTCTTCGACATCGGCGGCTTCAACGACTTCTCGTGTTGCTTCGATGAACTTCTGGCGTTGCTCTTCTGGTAGACCCTTGGCGCGCCATTGCTCTTCGTCTTCGAGTTCGTAGATTTCGTGCGGGTTGCCGTCGTCGTCGTAGACAAGTTTCTTTCCCTTGTCCATGAGTTTGGTGAGCTTCTTCTTGGATTGAAGGAGTTTCTCGCGGCG